AAAACCCCTGTCCACAGGGATGTCCGCAGTTCCTCCAAGGCCCCGGCAGCTGTCCTCCTGTGAGAGGTGGGAGCCGGCGATGGAGAGGGTGAGGGTCATGTGCAGGCCGCCCCGTAAACACACACACCAACCAGTTTTGCCAGACAACTTGCTAAACATCTGACCCATTTCTCTTGGCACTTTTATTCCACTAATCAGTGTCTGTCCTCCCTCCCTCCCCAATACTTCTCCCTTTTTTCGTAACAAGGAACTATTTGTGAAAACTGCCCTAACTGAAGGAAACTTTACCCGTTTTATTGCTTGTATGTCTTTCTCAGTCACCCTCCGACACGCCTGCCTGCCGTTGTAAGGAGGGTTTTACTGCGTGTCTAGAGCAGACAGCCTTGCTAAACTCTTTCTAAACCAGGAAGTAAAACAAAATTGGTGGTGTGAACACAGTGGGTTTCTAAGCATTTTTCATGTTTCCTTCCATTATGTTGGAGGGTAAATTCCTGGCTCAAAGTTAAAATAATTCCTCCAAGCTAATAGGAAATTCAGTATGACTTACCAGCGAAGCACTGGATATAAAAGTGAGCTTTTCACGTGCAAAATTGTGATGCATTTTATGAAAACTGTTACTTAGGATGAAGGTTGGAGGAGCTCAGTAAAGATGGAAGAGGAAAAGGTAGAGCTTAGTGATATAAATGCAGACGTGTACCCCAGCGACTTCTCCCAGGCACACATGCACACACTGTAACTTTAAAGCTGTCTGTTAGAAGGATGAGATGGAGTCATGAGCCAGACCACGTTGGTTTGGACAGAAATTCTTACAGAATTATTAAGCCTTAAAAAAAGCAAAGGAGATTTATGCATCTGCATTTGACCAATTTGGTTTGGAATAGGTTCATAATGGAAAAGTAATAAAACCGTAAGAGACAGTGTCTTCTGAGTACAGTCTCGCTTTTAAAAAATCTAAACATGGGTTGCTCCAGTTTGGATAAAGTGACTGTAGATTTTGGGAGGGTGGTGGTTTTGTTACTGTTGTTTCTTTTTCATTGATTATCAGCCAGTATACCTTCGAAGCGTTCTGTCAGATACTTTCTTCTGGAGATGTCAGTCACAGGAAAGAGGAACCCTCAGCTGAGCTGTCGGTGGCAGTCTCCCCCTCGGGTCACCACGCACACACATGCTCGCGGGCGCGCGCGCTGTTTGTTTAGCTATCAGTAAAGTCTTTTTCTGATGTAACTGGAGAGGTTGGGATTTGGAGGGTGGGCTGGTTGGATGTGTGTGAGGAGGCACCTCTGGTGACTGCCAGCAGCCGCAGAGAAGCAGGAAGGGGAAACGGATAACATGCTTCACCTCTGAAAAATTGGACCTAATGACTTTCTGATTTCAACAGGGAAGAGGAAGAAAAACCCAAACTCAAAAAACAAAAAACTTTCTCCATTTGCTCTCAATCACTTGAAGTCGTTGTCTTGATAAATAATTCCTTAAAACCACTGACGAGTGTAAGCATAGCAAGTGGCAGTTGGAGATTTGGGGGAGGAGAGGTGAGGCGTGTCTGTAGGTGCGTCCGAGCCTCCGCCATCCCTGCAGCCCGACAGTCACAGCTGTGCATCCCCGAGGGGACGGCGAAAGAGGCGTTTGATTTCATCAGACTCTTAACTTTCTTTCCACGGCCAGCAGTTCAAAGCACAGTTATTTTATGTGGTGAGAATGTGACCAGACTGCGAAGGTATTGTCTTTCCTGCAGGTATGCCTGCAGCATCTTTAGTGACCCCTGCTGATGTTATCAAGACGCGATTACAGGTGGCCGCCCGGGCCGGCCAGACCACTTACAGCGGAGTGATCGACTGCTTTAGGAAGATCCTGCGGGAAGAAGGCCCCAGAGCTTTGTGGAAAGGAGCTGGCGGTATGGAAATAATTTGTTCGTAACTCAACCTTTGGTATCCGGTGAATTTTAAAAATCTAATTGTATCTGTTATTTCACCATTTTTTTTGAAGCTCGCGTGTTTCGGTCCTCCCCCCAGTTTGGTGTAACTCTGCTGACGTATGAGTTGCTACAGCGATGGTTCTACATTGATTTTGGAGGAGTGTAAGTACCCTGCTAAATTCAGCTGCTTCTAGTAAGTACTGTGTTGTCGTGGAGAAAGGTATGCAGTCTCGTCTCGTCCTGACGATGAAGTAGGAAAGATGTAGGAAAATGCTGAAATCATGTCTTCAGACAACACACAGGTAACTAGAGTTCCAGGCTCCTCTGGGAGTCACATTTCAGCAGGTTTTGAAGGTTGTTTTTACCAAGTTAAAAAAATAATAATAATAAAACTCAGATTCTCACTCTACTATCTTTCCATTTAGGAAACCCATGGGATCAGAGCCAGTCCCTAAATCCAGGATCACACTGCCTGCTCCCAATCCTGATCACGTTGGGGGCTACAAACTGGCAGTTGCAACGTTTGCAGGGATTGAAAACAAATTTGGACTTTACCTACCTCTCTTCAAGCCGTCGGCATCCGCCTCGCCAGCCGCCAGCGGAGGCCCGTAGGAGCAGCGGCCCTGGGCTGCTGCCGTAGCTTTGTTGTAACTGCGGTAGAGAAGCCATCTGGGACTGAAGCGACGCTTCATTCCTTTCGCTTCCATCTCCTGTTTAAACTCAAGTCAAGGCTTTTTGTAAGGTGAAATCACTTATTTTCTGTGTGTTTTCTTAACTAGATCTTGGTGAAATTATTCGTGACTCTTCGTTCGGTCTCTGCTCACAGACCTTTGTTGGTGCCTGCCATCGGCTGGGCTTTGGTCAACACCAGCCTGATCTGGGGGAAGGAACAGGTCTGAATAGAAATGAGAACCGCTCTCCTGGGGGTTGGGATGACGGTCCCAAAGAAGCTACTGAGAGGCAATCATGGTGCTCAGAGCAAAAGTGTTCCGTGTGTGTTTAACCCGGTAGGAAACTGGGTGCATATTTATAAGAGAAAAAAAAAAACACTGGAAGAAATGAAAACATTATCAGAAATAGCCAGCCTGGATTCAGATTTTAAACATGCACTAATTCTGTCTCTGGAGTATATTATGAAGCTTTTATGTGAAACATGTTATTTGTAATAAAAACCACATTGAAGATGTTTAATAATCATACTCTGGTACTGGGACCAGGCCTACTAGGGAAAGTACTCTTGGTGTTGGACTCTGTAGACACAGACCAGGAGGCCCGCGCCTCTCCGGGACGTGCGGATCTGGGGCGGCTGCTCACCTGAACCCCCGTGCTGATGACTGCCTGTTCCAGTAAACACTGTGGGAAAACCGCGACCCCCAATACTGTACCTACCCTCGCCCCCTCCCAACCCCTTGTAATGGGCACCCATTTGCTTTTAAAATCCATTTTATCTTGAATCATGTAAGACAAATACATTGTAATATAAGTTTTTATTTAATTTGTGGTGCCTTGCACAGTGGTCAGAGGCTTGTGTGTGTGTGAAGAAGGAAATAAACTATTTTTAAAGCTCCTGAATTGCTTTCTCTTGCTATGTCCCATGGTGAATGGCTGCAGTCCTTGTCATCGTTGGCCTCTCTGTTTCACTTTGCGGGCGATTCCCTTCACGTTGGCACGGACATACCCTCCTGGTTTCAAGGTGGGTGTACCCCCCTTTTCGGTAGGCCAGCGTTCAGCGTGAAGGGGAAAAACCACATTTAACCCTGGATAAGCGATGCACCTAGCAAATGGACACTTGTTGGAGTCATTGCTCAGCGCTTTCGGCAGTTTTTCATTGTGAGAATTGTATAAAGTTTCACTGGATGTTGGGCGTGAAAACTTGTATGAAACGGCAGTGCTGTTTTCTAATCTTCTGTGACTCTTCCTCGTTCCAGAACGGGACGCTGACTTTGGCAGTCTGTGGCCAGTACGGTAATAACTGGGGGAAGCAATCTGGAAGAGAACTGAAGGCTCTTCCTGGACCACAGTTGTGCCCCTGAAGAGGCTACTGAGTAACCTGTCGGTCAACAGGTTGACATTCAAAGTTACTGTTCAAAACTGGAAAGAGTAGACACCATCCATGAGTCTGGTTTTTTGGATGTTTTTGCTTTTTTTTCAGTGAACAAAAGCTTGGTTTTCCTCACCGGAAATAGGACAACTACATGCATGGCTCCAGCCATGGTTTCAGTTGGCAAAACCAAAAAGAAACCTGTCCGTCTCTTCTTCCTCACCCCCAATCCCGGATCAGTGTGATAAGTGATACTTACATCCTAATCTCAGAGACCAGTCACAAGACTCCAAATGTGTTGTAGAAATTTGGGTGGTGTTACAATAACAAAGCACTCAAGCTTTGGTATTTTGGATGTGGAGGCAAGTCCCTGAGTGTAAATCCCTGCATTCCTTTTCTTCATTTGCTTGAAATTTTATAGAAGAACAATTTTCATGTTACAAATACTGACCCAAATCTCAGAGATGGTGCCTTGGCCTGCTTGCTTCTTGGTGGGAGAGCATCTTGGCTTCCCTTCGACTTATCTGTAGTGGAGGACAATTCTCTTGCGTAAATGAGAAACCAGAGGTACCAGGAAGCCAAAGGAGACAGGCCACGGGGCTGTGTTTCTTTAAAATCTTCAGCTTAATCTGTTCAGGGATAGGCAGCGACTTGAGACACTTTGAAGGAGGCCTCATTTCCATCTGGGTTCTGCTCAGTGGGTGGTGTGACGGTGACATCCTTGCAGAGGACTGTAATCACCATGTGGTGAAAACCACGTCAAATTTGTTCTGGGTTTTCCTTCTTCCTGAAGTGACAGCACAGTACGTCGGCAGTGCTGTGGCTGCCGTTTGTGCAGCCAGTCATTCTCCTCCTCGACGCTAAGGAACTGAAGGCTGAGTGACTCCACACACCTGCCTGCGCACCCAGGGGGCCACCTCCCCTGCCCTGTGCCCTGGAGTCTCTCCGCTCTGCCCTTGGTCCACCTCCTGATGGCTTGAAGGGTGGGAGAGAGGCCTGACTTTTGTAGCAGCTTTTTTTCTTTTTTTTCAAGGAGGGGAAAAAATGTGGCGCTGACCACAAAGTGAACACACTGATTCTTGGGTTCCAGTCGCGGCTGGGTTTCTTGAGGCTGGGTGGCACGCTGTCGCCAAGCTCATGCTACACCTCATAACCCACAGCCGTTCGCTCTGCTCCCTGGGGTCGCCTTAATCCCAAGCAGCCCGGCTTGCACGGGGGAAAATAAGAATTCTGGCACAGAAAGGAGTCATTTAAATGCTTATTGCATTTCAAGCTTCGGTTTTTACTTAGCTAAAATATTTACCATTGCTGGAAAACAATGTTTAAGATTTTGTGCTTATATGTTATTCAATGGTGTGGCCTATGTAAACCTCAGGATGCTTACGTTTTGACAGTCTTCTGGAAATGTTTAACGGCACATAACTCTGTGAGCGGGGAATAAAAACCGGGAACAAATTGTGCTTGAAACTTTGTAACCTTCGCTCCCCCCCAACC